GGTAGGTAGCCGCGGGGAGGGGAGCGTCTGCACAGCCTTCTGCTCCGCGCCTGCGGGGCCTGGCCCCATACGGGGCTGGGGGGTCAGGCGCCAGCTCCCGAGGGCTAGGAGGGGGGACAGACGGGGCAGGGCCACGCAGGCATCGGGGGAGGGCTGCAGGGCCCATGCGGACCAGCTGTCCGAGGGCTGGTCCCATTGCCCTATTGGAGGCAGTGGCTGGGGGGGGGTGCCGGTTGATTGTATTAGTGCTGGGCAAGGGGTTGTGTTAGATGGGAAGATAGCCGATCTTTTTACCGTATTGATCGTATTAGTGCTCTGGGGGCAGTGTTAGATGGAAAGATAGCCGATCTTTTTACCGTATTGATTGTATTAGTGCTCTGGGGGCTGTGTTAGATGGGAAGATAGCCGATCTTTTTACCGTATTGATTGTATTAGTGCTCTGCCTGGGAGCTGGGTTAGATGGGAAGATAGCCGATCTTTTTACCGTATTGATCGTATTAGTGCTCTGGGGGCAGTGTTAGATGGGAAGATAGCCGATCTTTTTACCGTATTGATTGTATTAGTGCTCTGGGAGCTGGGTTAGATGGGAAGATAGCCGATCTTTTTACCGTATTGATTGTATTAGTGCTCTGGAGGCTGTGTTAGATGGGAAGATAGCTGATCTTTTTACCGTATTGATTGTATTAGTGCTCTGGGAGCTGGGTTAGATGGGAAGATAGCCGATCTTTTTACCGTATTGATCGTATTAGTGCTCTGGGAGCTGGGTTAGATGGGAAGATAGCCGATCTTTTTACCGTATTGATTGTATTAGTGCTCTGGGAGCTGGGTTAGATGGGAAGATAGCCGATCTTTTTACCGTATTGATTGTATTAGTGCTCTGGGAGCTGGGTTAGATGGGAAGATAGCCGATCTTTTTACCGTATTGATTGTATTAGTGCTCTGGGAGCTGGGTTAGATGGGAAGATAGCCGATCTTTTTACCGTATTGATTGTATTAGTGCTCTGGGAGCTGGGTTAGATGGGAAGATAGCCGATCTTTTTACCGTATTGATTGTATTAGTGCTCTGGGAGCTGGGTTAGATGGGAAGATAGCCGATCTTTTTACCGTATTGATTGTATTAGTGCTCTGGGAGCTGGGTTAGATGGGAAGATAGCCGATCTTTTTACCGTATTGATTGTATTAGTGCTCTGGGAGCTGGGTTAGATGGGAAGATAGCCGATCTTTTTACCGTATTGATTGTATTAGTGCTCTGGGAGCTGGGTTAGATGGGAAGATAGCCGATCTTTTTACCGTATTGATTGTATTAGTGCTCTGGGAGCTGGGTTAGATGGGAAGATAGCCGATCTTTTTACCGTATTGATTGTATTAGTGCTCTGGGAGCTGGGTTAGATGGGAAGATAGCCGATCTTTTTACCGTATTGATTGTATCCGTGCATAAGTGGGATGGGGTATTGGTACCGTACTGACTGTAGTAGAGGTGCTCTCTAATTGTCTCCATGCCCGCCTCCTCCAGGTGCTGTGATAAGCGCCTGTGGACCCGCATTGACCTGAGCCGCCGAAAATCAATCACCCCGTCTATGCTGAGCGGCATCATCCGCCGGCAGCCGGCCAGCCTGGACCTCAGCTGGACCAACATCTCCAAGAAGCAGCTCATGTGGCTCATCAACAGGCTGCAGGGTAGGGGGGCTGGAGCCAGGCTCCTGGGATCTTTCCCCGTTGCGGGGGCAGGAGATGAGAGCCTGGCTTCTCCCCCTGACTCTGCATCTCTGCTGCCTCCTGCAGGCCTGCGGGAGCTGGTCCTGACGGGCTGCTCGTGGTGCTCCGTCTCGGCGCTCAGCACCGCCAGCTTCCCTGCACTGCGGCTGCTTGACCTGCGCTGGATCGAGGACGTGAAGGACTCGCACCTCCGGGAGCTGCTGCTGCCCCCCACAGACAGCAAGCCAGGTGGGGATGAGGGGGTGCTGTGATGTGGGGGCAGACTCAGCGGGGAGGCAGTGCCCTGGAGCGGCAGCAGGGGGCGCTGTGATGCAGGGGGGGGGGAGACAGGGGGCAGGAGGCGGCAGCTGCTGCTGCCCCCCACAGACAGCAAGCCAGGTGGGGATGAGGGGGTGCTGTGATGTGGGGGCAGACTCAGCGGGGAGGCAGTGCCCTGGAGCGGCAGCAGGGGGCGCTGTGATGCGGGGGTGGGGG